GTTTGAAAGGTCAAAGAAATGATATTCAAGTACCGAAAAGCTTTCTTACTATCATATCTACAGTAACGTTCAAATGCGCTCGCGCTCGGATGAACGAGAGTGACCACCAAAAAGGGTGAGATAGTTTACGGACAACGTATAAAGTTCACGCTGCTGACCCCACGGTTTATTCGGCACAATAAACACAAAAGTACGACTGCAATGAAACATAAACATAAATTTGAAATAAAAATATACTTATGAAACAAAATTAAAATGTTTTTATGTACATATATAAACATGAAATCCAAGCTGAAAATAAAAATACTCATTTATTGTTTAGGTTTATTTACAAATATTATTTACGGGTCTGTATATTACTTGAAACCATAAGAAGTATACGTGATTATTAAAAAAATTAAAAATAGATAAAATTTGCATTTTTATGGAGGATACAATTTTTGGGGGATTTCAAAATAATGTACTAAAACATTAAAAGTAATAAGTTCAAATCAGTAGCAAATATAAATATGGTAATCATTTCTTATAAATACGATTTCCTAATGTAATTTTCCAAGATATTAAAGACCATAATGCAAAAAAAATAAATTTATTAAAAGTAATAGGCTTTATGTTTCTTAAACTACCTACATTTGTCAAAGTATTTATGAATTTTCGAAAATATTCGTCCACTAGTTTTATTGTTGAAATGAAATATAGCAAGACTTGCATTGCCTACTAAGAAAGTTAGTAGCCGGTAGTCATCGGGTTAACAGATCCACTGGCAACCGAAGTTCCCGACCAAACATCAACTTTGCTGGAGTGTATCCAGTGGATTCATGCTCTGCTGTCCTATAGGCCATCAAGAGTGGAGGGAGTAAGACATCCCAGTCATCTTGGTAGCTATTACAAAACTTTGCCGATTCCTGTCCTTGTACTTTTCTACTATCCCATCAGACTGTGGGTGAAGTGGCATTGTTCTGGTCTTTCATATGCCAAACAACTTACAGCATTCATGAAACACAGCTGATTCAAAGATATGGTCTTGATCTGAATGCAGTTCATACGGCATACCAAATCTGAAGAAGAAATCACTAATAGCCGAAGCTACAGTTGCAGCTTCCTGATTTGGTATTGCATATGCCTCAGGCCACTTAGTGAAATAATCCATCCCCATACAAATGTACCTGTTTCCAGCACGAGTTTGGGGTAGCAATGTCAATGGCTACTCTTTCCATTGGTGCACCAACTTGATATAACTTCATTGGAGCATGTCCCTTATGTTTTGGTCCTCTTTTAGCACAACATGTACTGCAGGTCCTGCACCATTCTTCCAAATCTTGCCTCATACCTATCCAGTAAAATAACTGCTATAATCTCTCTTCTTGTT